GAAAGTCTAGAAGAGGTCAAGGTTTTGAAGAAATGCCTCTACTTCAAAGCTACTGATAACATCAGAAATTTAGATAAAATGCAGAAAGCTGCATGCATTTTGGCCCAGAGTAGCAGGAAGCAGCAGCTAGTTTGTGCTGTGTGGGAGCTGACAGGGATTATTCCCAACTCTCAAATCTATTGATAACAGTAATTGGGCAGTTAGGCATGTTTTATTAGGGAAGTGATAAAATACTAAGGCATATACTTTTCTCACCTGCCAAATATAAGAAAAGCAAGCGAAATTAAAGATGAGTTGTCTGCGGTGACTGAGCACCATGGCTAAGCAACAGAAGGACCCTAGGAATTGTTATTAAAGCAACAGCTCTGTGATAGCTGGGTCATAGCCTCATTTCTTCCCATAAGCATCCAGCTCAGAGTATCAGGGATATATAATAAAAAGATACTATTTTGCAATCCCAGTATGACTTAAAATTTGCGAAGCTGCCAGAATCACTAACAGTTTAGATGATACAGGTGGTTTCCACATGATCATTAGTAAAATGGACAAGTGTCAACAAGCCGACTGACTCTTATCTCTATATATAGGTAGGTGACTGATATGTTATAAATACAGCCACACGTACATGTAAACATAGCACAGAGTAGGCCTTTGTCATTCAAGGATTGTACTTGGTTTCAACTTTTTAAGGATGACTCTGAGGGTACAGTACAAGTAAGGCTTCATTTGCAGAGCATACATCTGATTAACTTGCTCTGTGAAATGGTGTAGGGATAAGGGACGGAAATCCCTCAGATTCTGAATGCAAAGTTTCAACCTCCCCAACTCAGTGTGGCTTTGCTGTCTTCTCTTACTTCACATGTATCAAATGACACTTGCTAAGGTCTACAGTTTTCAATTTTATTTTATAGTACTTTCTAAAAGAAATTACATGACAGTATTCTCAAATTTGGGAATTCGCGAAAGTTTTTAGGTATACTCATCTAGAATGTCAAGAGCTTTTAGAACAGGTGATTTTACTGGGCTAACTAACTCCTAGCTTGTGGGAATAGAGTTGGGGTAGACAGTACTAAAGTCAGTTCCAGTTGAGGGCGTATCTGTGATGGGAATTTAAAGAAAGGGATTGTATCAAGTGAAGGGAAGATATATATTAAAATCAAACAAAATCCATACAAAGAGAGCAATCAAGATAAATTACTTAGTATTTTTTTTCAAACCATGCAAATGGTATTCAACAATATTCTGAGAATAAAGAGTAAGTCCTTACAAACTCCTACGTAGGTCTTGGCCAACTGCTCCTCTCTTGCTTCCAAAGAACTGACAGAGGCTTTTACTCTCAAGGCTATGATCTACCACACTGATTTCCCTAAGAAGCAGAAAGAACGTGTCTGAAACATGACAGCTTTCCTACAATGCCTGAAGTCTCTTGAATTAAAGAAAAAGTGACTAAAATGTTGTGACTCGTCTTACAAATTCCTCCCCTGTATGTAGTGTTTGTCTAAACATACTCCTTTGGTGGGACTTTACAATGTCCAGTCTCTTTACTCTATGTATTACAGTACCTGGCATAAGTTTTTATCAGTGTGTGTCGGCATCTTGGCCTGCAAACAACCTGTAAATATCAATGCACTGAGACTGTTCCACCTCTCCTATCGGCTCTATCCTTACCCTTTTCCATTCCTGTTCTCTCTAAACTGGGAAGAAAAAAAGAAAAATAGAACCTCTTTGGCATCACCAGATTGGAGATTGCAGAGGAAACATCTTGCCTTACCATCTCCTTTAATTCTCCTCAGGGAATCTGACTTCCTTTTTGCTGTCTTTATATGCTCACAATAAAACAATTCCAACTCAAACAAACTCTTTTCCACATATTTTAGTCCCTTTTCTTCCTCCCCCATTTCAACTTTTGCCCACTTAACTCATGAGAAAACAAGTATTTTCTATTTTTTTCCATTGCAGAATTCATGTTAACGGTATTATTTGTACTCCTAGAACTTTACTATCCTATTTGCAATAACTCAAATAACTTTCTAAAAATGAATTCTCAGTTGCCATATGTAGTAAAATGGCCAGATGGGGCATCTTCATTTGTTTTTAGTACTGGATCTTCTTGTTTAAAATGGTATTTTGCTCATAAAACCAGCATCAATGATCTAGCCTTATTTTATCTATAGATGTTAAAAAGTTATAGGATATTTTAAGTGTACATATGTATGTATGTACACTAATACTATCTATAAGCTAAGAAGAGACTATTTTAATTATTTCCATTTATATCTCCCTGATCTGTCACTTAATGGCCAGATCTTAGAGTTCTTTTCCAATCTACTGGCTTCCTACTAAAACTCTCATGCTGTTTCCTTTTAAAGGCCCTATATTACTACTACTTCTTCCAACTATCCCCTGGTTCAAAATACTGTTTTCTATAAAATTTGACAGCAGGGAAATGTATGCTGTGCTATATATACACACATAAGACTGACAGTGTATGAAATTAAGTTTCTCACCAATATAAGTCAGCATTTAGCTAATAGAGACATCATGTAATAAATACCTAACAGGAATAAAATTATAAAATTCAAGTATGTTCATTTCAACTAAAAAGCAAGATTTTTTTTATTTTTGCAATTAATCTCTAGTAGTGAAAAATAATTTAACTGTTTTATTACATTAACAAAATCCTTAAGAAAAAATAAATACAGTTTGTAATAGTGGGCTTTGACTGTTTTAAACTCTTTTATTAACTCTCTTCAATGCACTGATATACTACTGTCAATCCTTTTACTCTTGGTTTTTGTGTATGTGAAATTAATTTACAATAAAAGTATGGAAATGGCTATCAAAACATGTCATAGAAATCCCCTATTTATCACCAAAGAAAGATCTAAGTCACTCTTTCAAAACACTGGACATTCAAGTAAAAATCTTTAAAAATTTCTCCTGTAAACTCATTTAAAACTGATCCTCAAATCTGTCCCTGCCTTCTTGGATAAAGAATAAGGAACAACTTGAGCTATTTTGACAGCAGGGTTTGTATCATTTCCAAACCTTACTTCTGTATTTTGAATATGTATATGATTTATCTGCAGGAAACCTGTTAGCAAGCTCAAGAAGTACTTAACAATTACTATATCAAGTGAGTAAAAAGGTCAAGTGAAAGCCTGAGGGTCTATCTCTTCAATGGGATAAAGTATTTGTCCTTAATGCTGGGGATTTGCATCATTTATTTTGGTGCTATCAGGGCTTTTGTTTTAATCACTACTCAATTTGTAGTTATGTCTAAAGAAATGTGGTTTGAATTATCACATTCTTTCATGGAAGTATGCAAGAATAAACACAAATATTTCTAATCATACTGATTTCGTCTTTACTAAATAACTTTCCTATAGACATTTTCCAAGTTTTTGCCTCAAAATAATAGACTGCAAACTTTCTTTTCAAAACCTTATGTATTCCTATTAAAAAAATTTCATGATTGAAAAATTCTTATTTTTGCAGCATACTTTTTATATTCCATACATAAAAGAAAAAGACTTTACATAGTCCATTTCTTCACTATTTCTCTCATATTAACTTGAAAAATACTTATCAAGCACTTAATCTGTGGAAGACACTGTTCAAGTGCTACAGAAGATAGAGTGATGACTGGATACCTTTCCCAACATAAAGGGACTAAGTCCTAACAGCCCAAAAGAAGGCAAGTCTTCAAAGTGCCCCTATAGTACAAGACACAATATAAACAGTACCATAAAAGGGGCACAAAGTATCCACATGTGGTTAGGTGAAATTAGCAGAAGCTTTGTGACAGAGGTAGCATTAAGGAAGGCTTTTAGAAGAGATCCTGGATTTTAACAGTTAAAAATGAAGCCAAGGTAGAAAACTGAAGACAGATCCAAGACTGAATGAATTACCCATTTTGGATGTCCACGTTGAGTAATGGTCAGAAATCTATCTGGAAAGAGGCTGAGATCATTTTTTTTGTTAGCCTGTGAGATTTTCACTTAATTCAGTAAATAAGCAAGAGATCCTAAAGTTTTTCAATAGGTAAATAAGATTAGACTATGCTTTAGAAAGAATAATCTGACACTGATACGTAAGAAAGACTGAAGTAAGCAGAGACTACTGGCAGAGACTAATTAGAAAACCACTACAACTATCAAAATTTGAATTTCAGTAACAGGAATAGGAACAGAAAAAAGAGGATATAGGTTAGGAAAGTTTAAATTTCAAACACTAGGTAAGATTTTTTTTTAAGATAACAACAATTTTCAATTCTATACATTCAGAAAATATTTATGAGCTCTTATTCTGTCCCTCAAGAGCTCACGATTGGAAGTGGAAAGGACTAACAAATACAGTAAAAAGCAAAATATGATGAAGCCATGAAAAAAAAGCTAAGGCAATGCAGGAGAGCAAAACTGGGCTTGAAGGGAAAAAGAAACATTTGCCCTGGGTCATGAATCATATTGGCTTATGCACTCAGATTTCTACAAGCAGAATTCAGGATAAGGGTTGTAGAGAAAAAGCATTATAGAGAAAAAGTAAGCAGTCTTACAAGCAAGAAGTAATAACAACTAACATTTTTTATATGATTATATGCCAGGCACTTCTCAAAACATTGCAGGTGCACTATCTCATTTAACCCTCACAAAAATCTATAGAGCTTTTATTGACCTTACTTTACAGATGAGACAAATACCTGCAAAGTGTGTCCTGTTGTGCATGCAGCAACCACAGAAAGGTTTTCCCAAGCACTGCACTCACTGCAGATTCACCACAATACTAACTTTCACAATCAAGGTCCAGAGAATCAGGACTGCTTCACTGAAACAACTAACATTACTTTCAAACTTAGCTTTCTGTAAATTACAAATATATATATAAAGAATATTGCCAAAATGATTAGAATTTACCATAAATACCTAAGAAGAGAAAAATAAGCCTGCGAGAAGTTCATTATTTTCTCATTCACATGCTAGCTTTAGCTTTTATTTACTTACCCACATGGCTGCATGATCATTGCTGTTAGTCTGAGAAGGAAGTTCAGCCAGGCAATCAAATAAAAAAGGAAAATCTATTCCAATAGCAGCAGAAGCGATGTATAAAGTAGCAAAATAAAATACACTATAAAACAAGTAAGCTGGCTATAATTTGTGTGTGCTATTAATTTAAAGTTGCTATAATTGTTGTATTGCTATCATTTAAAGGCATTATTACATAAATGTGACTATCATTTTATTTTGAAGATTTACATGCAAGTTTATATCTACACTAACCAGATAAATCTTCCTCCAAACTTTTGTCCACTTAATCAAGTTGTCCAGTCAGTGTAAAATACTGAGAACTTTAGCAGTTCTAAATGTCTGCTGAACTGGCAAATTTAGAAAACACCAGCTCTTTGGCAGGGTTCTTTACTATAGAACAGTTGTTCTCAAATTTTAAGCAAAATAATGCAGATTTGCAAGCTTTGGAAACTTTAGTTCATTAAGACCTAGAATGAAACACTGGAATATGAATTTTTCACAAGTAATACACAAAAATAACTTTAATACAAAAAGAAAGAAAACATCTATTTCTTCACAAAATAGAATATTGTACTAAATATATCATTCTGAAGATCTTAGGGGTTATGCCACTATGCTTCCATATAATCTGCTAATATAGTTTAAAATAAATTTTTAAAGGAAAGATAGCACATAAATTATTTTATAATTAATCATTTAAATGTATTTTCTTCCCCTAAAAAGTGAGTAAAAACCAGTAAAAACCAAATCACTGGTATCAGTTTAAATACATATAAGGCCCTGCTAAAGTTCTGTACTAAATATATAGTACTGGCTTATTCATTTAAAATATTAAGGATTAATTAAATTAAAATAGCCTTAAAATACTATTTAATTTTTAAAAATTATCTAATTTACTTTGCAAATTCTAGTAATAAACTATATAATTTTTAAGCATTTTTAAAATTTTTTAAGAAAAAGATATTTATCCAGAAACATGGATTTAATCTTGCTGTATTACATCAGTGAAACTCAAAATCTACTTATTAGTGGCAGTTGAACATCTGGTATAGCCTACACTGAAGGTGCCCTCCCTGAGAAGTTGTCTTTTTCACCAAACACACAATAAGCAAAGGAGAAACCATAAGCAGAAGTGGAGGAAGGAGACACTCAACTAGTCAGGCCATTCATCCTAATTAAGCAGTGGGCTGGTAGCTATGTTAGCCAGACAATTTATTCTTCTGGGAGACTGGACTAGACTCTAAATAATCTCTAAGTCCTTTCTAGATTTAACTTAAAATAAATTTTGTTTGAGTGAAAAAAATTATCCCATTGCCATAGTTATTTTATTCAACTCTTTTTCCAAAACCTTTTGAAGTATATGTCAAGATATTTTGTGAGATATATGAAAGCTACAAAGTCAAGATAAAATCTAGCTAAAATTTAATAACCTAGTCAATAAAAGCCAGTCAACAACATTTAACATATGAATACCATGTAAGTCATAAGACTTGTGATGTTTTCATTATAGTTCATATCATACCAGTTTTATGAGTTATAGTCAATAAATTAAATCAATTATTATTCATTGCCATTACATATTTTTAAAATTAATATTCAAATAAAAAACAATTTTAAGCATATAATGTAATACATGGTTATGTTTTCACTTGGTAAGAAAAGCACTAAAATGAGTTCAAAGCTGCCTATGCCACAATTTAAAAACTACAATACTTGAATTTTTAATACAATTCTTTCTCATGTTACATTTAAAAAAAAGGTTATTAAAGCCTCTGATTGTACTTCTAACTATTAAAGTTCTCATTTGCAGTTTTCAGTCAAGTAAAAGGACACATAAATCCACATATTTAACTCAGAAAAAAAGTGTTAACCAAAGAATAAAGAACTAAGAAAAACTGGTGCCAGAATTAATAAATCTATGATTAGTATGGGACTTTATATCTGTATGAAATAATAATGCTTAGAATAATATTATATATAAGGACCTTAAAGGTGACCAACTCAATCACTTTACTTCAAAGAAAAGGAAATAGGTTGTTCAGAATCAAGATGGTAGACTAAGATAATGCATTTGCTTCCCATATATCCTGAGATATAAGTGAAATAAAAAGTATAGAATTTCAAAAAGGAATAAAATGTTTAACAAAACATAAAATGAAAATGTGTGGGAGAATTCATCAAGGGACAATTTGTAGAGGACAGAAAGCTAACAGAGAAAAGAAATCTACTGTCCATTATATGCTACGAAGGAACTACAGTGGAGCTGGTAGCCAACTTTAGAGATCCAGATTTGGCAGGTATGAGAGGTCAGAAATGAGGAACGGGATGGAAAACAAGCTTGAAGACTTCTCTAAAAATGGTGCCAATCATCCCCTACCTACACTCCATGGGCAATTTCCATAATGAAAGAACTTTGGAGGTAGAGCTGAGGTTCCTGGTGTATGCGGAAAGAGACAGAGACAGAAGGAGGGAGGGAAAAAGAAAAAACAAGCCCTCCTCATTCTGGCATGGTGTGGTAATGATGAAAAGAGGAAGAGAAGGCTACATAATTGTGGAGCTCAGCATAAAATGAAAATGTGGGATCCCTTATTCAAATATTATTAAGAATTTCAAGACAACAGCGGGGCACCAAACCACAAGCAGGACCCTTCTAAAAATGAGATCCCAACCAACTGTACAGGTCGCGCATCCATGAAGTTGGTTGGCCCTGAAGAATAGAGACCACAGCCTCATGGCTAGTGCCATACCTAAGGTGAAGAATCCTAAGCAAGATGCTCTCCAAATTTTTTGAAGTTCCTAGTCAGATTCCTACTCAGCAGAAAAGTTGATTGAAAAATAGCATATTTATACAGCAAAGTAAACTCACATCAACTCTCCAAGCCTTCTTTCTTAAAAGAGAATGAGCAAAATAAAGAAATAAAAAGCCTATTTGAGGGTAAAAGAAATAATTCAAGTAACATAAAACACCTTTAATAAAAGCCCTCTAACACTCAGGCAGATTTGGAAGATATTATGTCAGTTAAAAGAACAAATAATATTATCCTATGAAAAAAGGAAGACTTAAAAAGAAGTAATTCCTTGGAACTTAAAAATACAATAAATAAAATATACTATAGAAGGACTGAAAAAATAAAATTGAGAAAATCTTGTAAAACATAGAGAAAAGATAAAGAGAAAATGAAGGAAAGGATAAAAGACATAAAGGACCAATTTGGGAACTCAAACAATAATGAGAGTCCAATAAAGAGAGAACAGAAAAATAGAGGGAATAAAATTAAATAAAATGTTATAGAAGAGAATTTGTCTGTGCTAAATAAGGACACAGATTCTTAAAGAGAGGAGCCACTGAGTAAAAAGCTAAATGAATGAAATAAAAGCTCACACCTCTACACATTTCATAATATTATGAATTAAATAACAGATCTTAAACTTGTATGCCAGAAGACAATGGAAAAATGCAATGAAAATTATCATAGAAAAGGCTGTTCAACCAAGAATTTTATAACCAGCTAATCCATCAAACATGAGTAGAGAAGAAATTTTATGACATACAAGCTCTCCAATAGGAGGAAGTTACTGATACAACTTAACAAAACCAACATGTGAAGCAATGGAAACACGCAGAATACAAGAAAGAGTTCTCAACTTTGCAGAGCAGAGAAGTCCCAGGTTAACAGCTACTTGGCAATTCTAATAATTCCACAGAGCAACTGGTACAAGTTAGAGACAATGGCCTCTGCAGTTGCCAGAAGATAGTAGATGAAGAACTGATAAAGTGAAGGGTAGGGAGGCTAATTCCTTTATCTTACATAGAAGAGAATTAAGTTACTGACTATAAGTAGAAGGAACAAAACATACGAGTATAATTATTTTATATAAAGAAACAACAAATAGAAAAAATTAAACACATGTAACAATCAACAGGAGAAAAAAAGGGAAGAGCTTGCTATGTGTGCATTATCTTTCATAGCAGTGAATCACAAGATGTTCTCTATTTTTCTGTTAATATCACCAACAGAAATAAAAAGATACGGTTATCTGGGAGAGGGGGTTGGGAAGAGACAAGGAAAAGGCTATTTTCCATTTCAAGTACTTCTGAACTACTTGACTTATTACCATGTTGATGTGAGCATCCAACATGGAGTTGCTTATGTGAGGTGTCCAATATAAAGTTGCTTATGTCAAGCTTGCCTGCTTTCACATGCTGACTGCCTCTGTAAACATACCCTACCCTAAAAGGCATGGTGGCGAATGCCCAAACTAGCTAACTCTGGCACATCAGGCACACCGGTGAATACCCAAGCTGAATAACACCACATGTGGACGGTCCCCTCTTATCTCAGACCCCAGGATGGATGGACTGGACTATATGAGGGACCAGGCAGAGAAACCCTTGGCAAGCTCGTCCTAGAGGTCCCTGACACCGGTCCACAGATGTGTGCTCGGAGGTTAGTTTCTGCTCATCTGCCTGCGCTCCTGCTCTATGATAGATTAGTCACTCCACCGTAACTGTTTTCACTGCATCACATTCCCCTTGGGACAGATGAGAGGCTGATGGGGACAGCCTGGACCTGAACAATCTGTCATGAGTGGTATGAGATGTATTGATCTGTGATATGTGTGATTTTTTTTGGTATAATTAATCTACAATTACATGAGGAACATGATGTTTACTAGACTCCCCCCATCACCATGTTCCTGTGACAAACCCCATTACAGTCACTGTCCATCAGCATAGTAAGATGCTGTAGAATCACTACTTGTCTTCACTGTGTTGCACAGCCCTCCCTGTGCCCCCCCCCATATTATACATGCTAATCATAAGGCCCCCTTTCTTCCCCCCACCCATATCCCTCCCTTCCCATCCATCCGGCCAAGTCCCTTTCCCTTTGCTAACTGTTAGTCCATTCTTGGGTTCTGTGAGTCTATTTTGTTCCTTCAGTTTTTTCTTTGTTCTTATACTCCACATATGAGTGAAATAATTTGGTACTTGTCTTTCTCTGCCT